CCAGAAAAACATGTCTGGTGGAGGTGCTTTATTTATTGAATTAGTATGCTCAGCACTTTGCTATTATAGACATTATTCCCATTTCAAAGATGAAGAAATTGAGGCTCAGTGACATTTTGAAGTAGGTCTACTGACACTTTTCTGTCTGCCCTTCTGCCTCGATTAATAGGTAGGTTGAAATTTTTTCCTTCTCTAATCTGTTTTCTTCTCTAATCTATTTCTCAAACTGAGGCTGGAATATCAGTCACCAAGCCTTTTCTGGTATGTAGCAATTACATCACAAAATAAATTTCATTTGTAGGCATCCTATCACAGGCAGTAGAGTATTTCCACCATTTACTCAAGGTTCCTTGTGGTTTTTCTTGACCTCTTTCTCCTTGATATCAAACAACGGGTATTTACCACAAATGTATGAAACAAAAATGTCCCAGGAAATGCACTGCCACAAACAAAACTCTAACAATACTTAATGGTTATACAAATGGAAAAATATAACAGATCTGAGAAAAAAGCAACATATTCTTAGAAATTGTATTTCAAGATGACATAAAGGAGTTCCTGCTAGAAGAGGAGTTCCCTGGTACTTATTTGCATATAAAGAACTTAACCTATAACAGTACTTGCAAATAGAATACTGATTGGCTAAGGGACAATGTGAATAAGAAAGAAAACAAGTTATAATCCTCTCACTCTGTGATTGGTCTAGGGGTGATGACTTAGGAAAGCCATGTTACTGCCTTGTTACCTAGAAAGGCTATCAAAGGTTATCACATGGAAACGTGTGTTCCTTCCTCTGGATACACAGAACTGATGCTGTGTGGCATCTAACACATGGCAATTTTGGATTCTTGACAGTCTTTATTAAATGTGTCTCTGGACAAAGGTGATGTCAGGGAGCTAATTCTGTTAATTCCTGTATTCCATCATTCATTCATACATTTATTCAACTAATCAACATTTACTGAACAATATTTTATAGGAGGCTCCGGGCTAAATACTAAAAATCAAAACAAAACAAGAAGACACGGCCTCTGATTTCCCTCTAGAACCAAGGCTCTCTGTGAAGGTTGGTCCATGTCATCTAAATTAACATTCTCTTTCCCAGACAGAAATTTTGAGCAGCATTGCTCAATATTAAATATTCAACGGAGATGCTACAAGACAATATAACTGCTCTATTCAGTTGGAAAAAGGCAATTTGAATGAGAGAAAAAATGGAATTGTAGATTTATGTAGAAACAAGAGCAGTTGAATTCCACCACCTGAAATACTGCGAGATTCAGAACTAGTTACAGAATTCTCCCTTCCCTGAAGATGTTTAAAAATATTTGTCTTAATCAATAGTTTAGCTTAATTGTAAACTTACTTGCCAATTTATTTCCATGGACTGTAGAGCTGGAAGACTCTTGAAGAGTTTATTCTTCTAGTTTGTTAAATATTTGGGGTATCTTAATTATGCTAGTAATTGACTTGGCAGAGCAAGGCTTTCTTTACAGACCTGCACTGTCCAGTGGAGTGGCCATTAGGCCACACGTGGCTATTGAGCACTTACAGTCTGGCTAACCCAAATTGAGCACGGGATGTGTCATACTTGTAAAACACACACCAGATTTCTAAGACTTAGTAAAAAAAAAAA